TGCCAGCCCAGGTAGGTTGAAAAGTACTATTATTTCCAATCAATAAGTATCTTGGTTTTTAATGAAAGATTTTACGAGAAAATTACAACAGGGACCATAGCTGTTAAGTAACACCTTCTTATTAAGCTAAGCTTCCAACTTCAGTTTCAGCTCTGGGTCAATCTCATCAATTTGAAAGCACAAATCCTGGCCCCCTCCAACTTTCCACTCAATTCAAGCTAAATGCATCCTTGTGGAATTCTCTTGCTATCCTAAATTGAGAAAAATCACAAAGCACACCCTCTTTAGAGTTCTTGAACCATCAAAGTACAACTAAAGTTCTTAAGAGTGACCACATAATGGACTTCAATAACTTAAGAGCTCAATTCAATTACCTACAAGCCTTAATCTGCCCCTTCATTCAAGTCCCTTCATTTAAAAGTACACAAAACCTTTTTTCTTCCCACGGCATCTTTTATTCCTAACAATTATAAATAAACTCTTTTTTTCATAAACTCTACAAAATAACAAATCAGACACAAAACTTAGCAAAGAATTTTCTGATGGGAACTTCAAAACATTTGGCATACAGTCTTCTTACATGTTTGACATGTTCCTAAATGCCAAAAAATCCCTCAATAGTGTGCTTAAAACCAGTACCGTTTCATTCCTCAGAATCTTACTTTAAAACAAGCCATTACCTCTTTGAACTCACCCAATCTTAAACTTTTTCTAGAATGATTTATTCACAAAATTTCTATGAGAAAAATCAGAAAGTCTCAGAGCTGAGAAGAACTTAGATATTTTATCTGATTTAGCCCTTGCCCATAGACAGGTACACTTAGTTTTAATATTATTAAAAATGATGCTGTGGACCGTGGCCCATGCTTGGCCTTTTGGGATATATGCAAAGTGGTCAGACAGCTCCTTCACCTCAAAGGAGTTTACAGACCAGTTATCACTTGAGGGAGAAGGTCTAATTATAAAAATGAACATTTCCAGGTTCTATCTCAGACTTACTGATTCAGAAAGTCTAGGGGTAGGACCCAGGAATTAACATTTTAAAAAGCATCCCAGATAATTCTTAGGCACAAAAGCATTTGTAAAACACTGCTTCAGTACGTCTGCGAGATGTGCACAAAAGAACGGCAGTCAGAGAAGTGCTGAACATGGGCTAACAGGGGGCCTGTCTTCTAGGGACAAAGAACATTTGATCAGCACCTGCCCTCATTAACGCTGGCTATTAATCACAAAACACTAAGCCATCTCTTAGTCTTACCTGCACATTCTTCTAAATTATATTCACCACTAAGTTAAATTGTAAGCTATCAATTTTATAATAGAAACCCTTAGTGCGGAAAACTAAAATCTCCAGCAATCTACCATTCTTCCTAAAATACCTCATTCACTTGACATTTACTTTGATTTCATTTGCCTCATGAACCACACATTTTAGCTTATTTTCTTCCCATGACAGTAGCGTTCGTAAGGAATAGTGAGTTTCATAATTTTTTCTTTTGACAGAAATACAAAAAAAAAACTAGTTAAAATTTTTTCAAAAGTTGAATTCAGAAGCATGTGTGATATTTATATATTTAAGAAAGCAGACTCCTAGCAGAATTAGCTGGCACACACAGATTCTGTATAAGCCTTCGTACACTGTGTACAGAAAAATCACCTGGGAGGTGGCTATCAATGTAGATTGCAGAAGCGTCTGCCTCGGTAAGACAGGTAACTGAATTTTCAGCCAACACGCAGCTGATTCTGACGGGCACGGTTCTGAGAAAACATTCAAGGGACTTCAAGATTTCAAGGATCCAAGCGCGAATCTATACCTCCCTTTAAGTTTAAATCAATATATTAAATACAGTAGGTTGTCAATACCAGCATATTTAACTAAAGGAATAACAAAAAGGAACCAATAAGGAAATTCAGTTCATCTAATGATAGCACACATTCTGTAAGTCAGAGCTGAGGGATCTTCTTTATCATAAATTACTTCTTCCTGAATTTGGAGTCACATGGAGTAAAAAAGCTACCTAATGTAGGCTTTTGCTATTGTTCTTTTCAGAGAGCACATAAAATATTCTAATTACCTTTTAAAATTAAAAATATGTTGAACAATGTGTGTTGGGGGGGAGGCAAGGAGGAAAGCTGGCTGAGAACGGAATAAATGAGCATTATTCTCTGGCCAACAGCAATAATCAGAGAAATATAATTCTAAAGATCATGTAAAATAAAACCAAAGGAATTTGGTTATTCCTAATATTAGGACTGTAATTTCCCTATTCTCACAGGCATTAATTGTAGACAAATATTATCATGTTATTTACTAATTACTAATTAGTTAATTACTAATAACTCACAGAGAGCTGGGATGTTCTCATCCTCACTTCCTTTGGAGGGACCAGTATACAATCAGGTTCTGGGGTTGGGAGCTTTCTGTGAGTGTAGGAAGCATGCTTTATTTAACAACATGCTACTTCTCCAATAGTCCATGAAACTGTAAAAGGAGACCTGGCTTATTACTTCATTAATGACCGCGTGACCTTGAATAAGTTATTCACCCCGCCCAGAGACTCAGCTTTCTCAGCTGTAAAATGGGTACCCAGGTCAATCTGGATTCATGGTCCAAGCTCTTTCCACTCAGCCTTGATGGACTGAGGTTTATGTGAGAACATCACATAAGGCCATTTTTATAAAAGTGCTCTGTATGCTGTAAAGCCCTATACAGACAAAGTGGATTATTATTGGTCATTTATGAAGCCCAGCTATAAAGATGCGAAGTGACCCAGAAAAAGAAAGCAGAGTAGACAAACCTGAAATACAACATCTGTAGTGCCTAGAACATGACTCCGTACATGGTAGCTAGGTGATTAGTAAGTACTGAGTGTAGAGAAAATCACAAAAAACAGGTTTCCGTCTCTACCAGTATGATACCAAGAAGGAATCAACATGTCTAAAATCAAGGATAGCTTGATTCTACCATACAAGCCTCAATGCCCAAAAGCTTAGATCTTAAATTAAAAATTACTTGATATGAAACATACAGTATAAGATATGGAATATTAAAATATAGAGTATAACCCATCATCTGCAAAGAAATGGTTATATTCTTACCTTTTCAGTCTTGCAGATGTAGTCTTGCAGGGCAGAAGAATCTCCGTGAGGTTGCTGAATTTTTTCCCTCTACCTGATAGATCTGCATAATCATCCTAGTAAACTTACGAGGAAATAAATTCTATGGAGTATTGGGTACCTCCATTTGGTTTTGGATCTGGAAAGCTGAGTTTTAGTGACACCCTAATTTTAAGCAAACCAGATTTACCCCCTAAGCTCCCCTCTAAACATACACACAAAAGAAGACTGGAGAGCAGGCGAGGGGGGTGGGGTGGGGTGAGGAAGAAGCTATTTACTTTATAAAACAAGTTTTCACCAGTTCTTGGTCATTTTCCTAGAAGATTAAAATGTGACTCAAACTTAAATACTAACATTACATTACATGTCACTTTTGACATAGTTATCTGTAGAATAAGGCAAACCCATACTGGGAAATAACAAATTTAAAAAAAAAAATTGGGGGGATAAAAATGTTTTCTTCTGGGTGGGCCTGAAGGGCCCCCTCCCCCATTGCAAATGTATTTTTATGCAGGGTATCATTTCCCAAACAGGGGTGTGTTTTTCTATTGTTAAAATGAAACAAACAAGTTTGCTTTCAGAGTCATACAAATGCCCAACTGTTAGGGAAAAAAACGTTTTCCACTGGCCGCTTGCCTCTCCTGTCCCCAGGCAACCTTTCCTATTGGCCCCTTTCTTGGGGAGGTCCCCTGGGGCTGTCTGGTGGAACTGATTTTTGTGCAGTGAAAACTAGTTTCTCCAAAATTTCAAAGACCACCCAGAATAGAGCCGATGTTGGGCAAATGTGTACCTTTCCTCCGTACGCGGAGTAATTGACCCGCGTTTCTGGGTTTTCACTTGAAAACAAAAGATGGGGAAAAATTTTTTTCAAGATGAGGAAAGGAAGAAAATCTATTCAAAATTCATTTTATGAATTTGTGTTTCGGGAAGGGGCAGAACAAGAGAAATCAGTGCAAATAGAAATCAGTGCAAAGACCTCAGCCGAGCTAAACTGTCCAAAATGCGTAAAGGCATTAACTCTGTGTTGAGGGAGTAAGCACTTGCGAGAAGCTCACTCGCAGAAAAACCTGGCGCTTCCCTCCCAAAGCTTCCCAGGGTGGCTGGCAACTGTCCCCTGCGCGGACGCCTGGGGCCGGGAATCTTGGATCGGACCGGGGTTGCGGTGGCAAAGGGAGGCAGAGGCTTCTGGAGCACAGGCCCTGGCTTCGTCTCATCCTGCTGTGTTTCCCTCTCCTCACAGCCGGAGTAGGTGCTCAATAAATGCTTGTGGGACGCAGGGAGAGAAAAATCCGTATCAGCCCCCGCGCCTCAAGGGTGAATTGTCCGGGACGCAGCTTTCCTCAGACCCAGTCTCCCCACTTTAGCTGAGGTCACTCGGTCTCGGCTGCCACGGCCCCAGCAGCAGGAGAGCAACCAAGAAGGCGGGCCGCTAGAGCCAAAATGGAGAAAAAGCCGGAGAGGCAGTGAGGCGGCGCGGGGCGCTGGCCGGGAGGCCCACCTGACGGCCGCGAGAGCAGCCCAGCCCAGCGCTTCCATTGACAGGAAGGCCGGCACAGCCAGAGCGTGGGGCCGGGAAGGACCCCGGCGCGCGCCCGGGCCCAGGCCCCGCCCTCGCCCAGGCCCCGCCCTCGCCAGGGCCCGCACGCGACCACCCCAGGGAGCCGCGGGCCCCGGGGAAGGGGAGGTGCTGGGGGTGGGAAGGCGGGGCCGCGCGCGCGCCACCGCCAGCTGACGCGGGCCCGGGCGCGCGCGCCTCTCCCGCCCCCGCCCCTCCGCGTCCCGGGGGCCCGGAGCACGGCTCTGCTGACGTCAGCGGGCGGTCGGCTGTGTGGGGTGCGCAGAGCCGCTGGCGCACTCGCGCGCTGCGCTCGCCCCCTCCCCCGCCCGGGCTGTGGCGCGCGCGCTTGATCTCCCCTTCATTTTTTTCCTCCCCTCCCTCCCAGCCTTGATCTCTCGCTCCCTCTCTGCCCCAAGAGCTCCCGGCTGCCGCGGCTCTCTCTCCTTCTCCCTGTCTTCGATAGGCTCCACCGAGCGATGCGAGCTTTGGGAGACAGCGACGCCGCCTCCCGCTAGAGATCTGACCCCCAGGCCGGCCCCCTGCCCATCCCTGCCCAGCGCGCGGGGGTCGGCGAAGGCGCCGCGGACGCACCGACGGTTGAGGACCGGCGATGCACATGCACTAGCAGCACCCCCTAACTCACTCCCTCCACACCCCGCGCCGCCGCCGCCGCCGCCTCCTCCTCCTCCGGCAGCAGCGGCAGAAGGACCCACCCTGCCCCCCACCCCACCCTCCGCGGGCTCCGGCTGCGGCTCCTGCCTCGACTATTATTTTATTTATTTTGGGTTGTGCACAAGCCTCAGTGCCTGCAGCCCGCGCCTCCTCGGACCGCGGGCGCCTCCTGCCTCGGCTCCCGAGCTCCAGACCCCGGCCACCCTCGCTTCAACACCCCCAGAGCCCTGCCAGCTGCCGCGAGTCTCCGCTGCTAGAATCTTGTTAGCAGCTGTCTTTTTGGGGGGTTCTGGTTTCCCGACATTTTTGTTTTCAGCCAAGGGGAAGACATCGTGATTTTTTTCCCCCTTTGAGCCGAGGCTCTGCTTTCTGGGGGGGTGGGGGGCGCGCCGAGCCGGGGAGCCGTGTTTGCCGAGTCGTGCGGGCTGTGGCAGGGAAGGGGCCACCATGGGATGTACTCTGAGCGCAGAGGAGAGAGCCGCCCTCGAGCGGAGCAAGGCGATTGAGAAAAACCTCAAAGAGGATGGCATCAGCGCCGCCAAAGACGTGAAATTACTCCTGCTGGGTAAGGACCGGGCTGCCACCCTCATCCCCCGACCCCAGCCTCTCCGCACCCCCGTCCGCCAGCTCCCCCACCCCATTCGCACCCGGGGAGACCCGGTCCCCGAGTTGGGACCACCATGTGCCAGGATCGCCCACCCTCTCGCATGCCTTACCCCTCTGCCCCCTACCGCGTTCCCCTAAACTGACACTCACCAGTTTTCCCCCTGTCTGTCCCAACAGGGGCTGGAGAATCAGGAAAAAGCACCATTGTGAAGCAGATGAAGTAAGTCCCTGTGGCATTGGGATTTATACTTTTCTTAAGAATATTTTTTTAATCATTTGTATTACCTTGCTTACTCCACGCTACTCTCCAGGCCCGGTTTTTAAATCTTGTACACACACACACACACACACACACACACACCTGGATTTGACTCCCCTCCCCCGCTCTACGTTGGTTCTGAGTCCCTCACCCCCAACTCCCGGGGTGCATGTTTTGAGGGGAGAGTGAGGGGAGGGACGGGGTGCGCCTGTAGTTGTATGAATGACAGTGTCCGCCATATTGATCAGAACATCACACTATTGGCATGATTATGATCATTACTCTTGCTTGTGGAGTGTTTCGTGTGTGTCGCTGCCTCCATTTCTGTCTCTGTGTCTCTATTTCATTCCGTGTCTCACTCCTCCTCCCTCCACCCCCCACTCCACATCCATAATCCCATTTCCCCTGCTCTTCTCCTGGGGCAGTGATTTTGAACTTGGTTAAAACATGGAGGGGACCCAGCCCTAGATTGCTGGGGTGGAGGATCAAGTGTGTGCTGTTCATGGGTTTGGTGCTGAATTGGAGGTTGTGGTTTCTGCGCCCCCCCCCCAAAAAAAGAGAAGGAGGGTTAGAGGAAGGGGCGTGTGGTACGGGAGGGGGTGGGTTTCTAAGTAGATGTGACTGGCACAGCTCTGTATCCAAGGCAGAGGTGGAAGGGGAACGCTGGCTGTGAGGCTGAATGCCCGCCCCTTGCTGCCCCCCTTCCTCCCCCACTCTCCCGGCGTTTGCTGTCCTGACACTGGCAGTTTTCATTTGCTATGGCCTTTATCAGTGTATTTACTTACACTCTGCATAGGCCATGTTCCGTGTAATCTACCCACAATGCGGATTTCAGGCCCCACTTGCTGCCGCCCCCTTCTGCCTTACATATCAGTTTCCCCTCCTAATTAACTGGGGGTGGATTTGAGTGATGGTGGAAAATTAAAACAAAATGAGATATTCCTTCCCTTGCGCACTTTCTCAATAAGAAGCCTCGCCCTCCTTCCCACTCTCAGGCTCGCTCCTTGCCCCATCCACTAGGGCAGTTCCTGGTGAGCCCACAGGCAGCTTGCTTGGGGAGGGGGTGGCTTGTGGGGAAGGGGTCACCATCCGGAGCTTCCTGGCCCCGCTTCTTCCGTTGACCTGCCAGTTCCGGATAGAGGAGTTCATTAACACCATTTAGCGAGGATTCCACGTCGCTTTGCTGTGACACCTTCGTGCACACACAGCTCCTAATTAGGGGTTGCTGTGCAGTAAACAAAAATGATTATTTTTCAACGTGACAGAATAGCTGAAGTAATTGCATCCCGTAGGAAAACAATGGAAAATAAAAAGCCCTTTCGTGTTAAGGTGGATGGGAGGCGAAGCGTGCTTTGCGGTTTTCAGAAACAAGATACAAAATTCTTGCATGTGTAACAGGCATGACAAGCGGGTTCTAGGCGGCGCCATGATGGTAGGGAGTAGCGACTTGGAGACAGTTTTCCCCATATGCTTGACATGTTCTTATTTTTATTCGAGAGGGCCCTGGGGTTTTCTTTTGCGAAGTCCCCCTCGGCTCGCCGCACCCCTCTGAGCCATGGGTAATTTGGCCTGGGGCTTCTCTGGAGCTTGTGAAACCCAAATGGATGGGGAGGCGGAGCCTGGGGAATTGCTTTTTGCAACAAGGTGCATGTTGCATCTGCCGGGAGCCCTTGCAGATCGGTAAATGCAAGCACGGCCACCCCTTTCTCCCCAAGGGGGGCGTTTTAAAACTTCAGAAGTCTGTAACCTGCAGTGGCGGGCCCAAAGCCCTGTAGAAGCCCCAGCTACCGGAGCTGGGTGAGGTTTCAGGCGTTTCGAGTGGTGGACAGCGCCCAGCCGAGGCCAGAAAAGTCGATGAGGCTCAGCTCGGCGGCTGCGCTGGCTCCGCCAGGCTCGGCGCCGGCTGGGCGCAGGGCTCGGAGGGACTCGGCAGTGTTCGGAACCGAGTCGGGGCTGGGCGGAGAGAGCCGAGCTGCTCTCTAGAGGGCCGAAAGCGTTCGGAAATGCTCGGGGAGGAGGGAGACGGATGCGGGAGTCGGGGTGATCTGCTAGAGTTTGCAAATTAACTTTGTATCTGCAAGATCAACTCCTTCCCTGCTCTTCTTAAACATGCCCCACAAATTAGGTTTAATAAGAAGTTTAAAAATATATACTGAGTCCCTCAAAGGGCACGTAGCCTTTTTTAATTCGAAGAGAGCTGAGCTCTCTGAGGAGATAGGTGTGCCATTTTAGAATGAAAATTCCTAGTTATGTACTGGGGCAGGAAATCTGAAATGAAGGTTGTATGTAGACTTAAATGTAGACTTTTCCTGGGATGTCTTATGTGTCTCGTATTTTGGGGGGAAAAACAAACCACACCAAGCTTTTGATGTTGGCGATAGTTAAATCAGGTATCTGAGCATTTCTTCCCGTTTTCCTGCACTTCTCCGCTCTGTCATCCCCACAGGACACCTTTTTGGAGAAAAATTTCAGGTAAAACTGTGATTCTGTAGGCAAAACTCCCCCCCCCACCTCAATATACCAGCTCTTTAGGGAATAGTCTTGGTTTGTTGAAAAGGTCAGTCGGAGAGATTTCTGGTCCATGTAAATTTTTGCACAAGGGACCCTGGTGGCCCGTCCTCCTGGAGCATATTCATGAATGGCAGCTTTTTCTGTTAAGCCCTCTGCTTGGCTTGAAATAAATCAGATCAGGGCCTTGTGCCAAGCTGGATGCAGGACTTGTTTTATTAACCACAAAATGTGAAATTGGTGTCACTGTATCCTAGTGACAAATTCTGAGTCCTCCCTTGCAGAGATGATTTTCCTGATCACCGCTTGGCTCATAGTCGCTTGAATTAGGAGAATTGTGCTGTGGGTGGGACTAGGCCTGAAAATCCAGGTGGCATTTACAGAAAGCAATTTCAGACTTGCGTGTACAATATGATTGGTCACCCACGTATCAGGTCATACGTATGAGTTAATTAGGTTGCTGTTTTATTTTACCTGGGCAGATGAAATTAGAAAGTTCTCTATGGGTGAGGCCCTGGGAGAACTTGATGATTTCCTAATGGGGACTGCAGTTTAGTAGCTCAGCCTGTTGGATGGAGAGGAAAAGTATAAATATTCAGACATCTCCAGATCCTTCTTAATCAGCATTTCCAGAGGAGCAGAGAACTATTCCATTCAACCTATATTGTCATCCACATTGTAGCATGCTGATTAGAAGAGGAGTAGTCCTCCATATATGCCTGTAATAACTGAAGTTACATGATAAACAACTGGCTGGCATATGCTGCTTAGAACAAAGTGTCCACACCTATATCATCAGCCTAGGAACGTTGCAGAGAGACTGACCTTTGAAATTATTTTGTTTGATACATGTTGTGGTGAGAAACTTGCATCCACTTGAGAGATATCATGAATTAGACTTGTTTTAAAAGCCTGATTCTTAATACTTCATCAAAAACTTCATTTGCATGTAGCTTTCCGGGTTTTTTTCTTTGTTTGTTTTTTTAATTTGTGTATGTGATTGTGAACTGGTGTTTGGGAGCTCTGTGTCAGACAATCCAAACCATTTTAGTACTGAGAAATAAACACTAATAATTGAAACAGCACAAATAGAACTTCACATATACCATGAATAATCCGGGCCCTTTTTGTATGTGTAGCATTTTAAGTAATTTTGCTTCTTTGGAGGTTGCGGCCTCACCTACGATACAACCCCGCCATTTTTGCAATCAGTGGAACTCTTTTGGTCCTTCGGGCTAATCAAGATTTTAAAGAGAATCAATTTTATTTGATTACCAGAACTTTACAAAGAACCCTCTTAAAGAATTATATTTAATGACATGTGGGATCAACAGAATATCACCTTCAGTGACTTCCTGTTCTGAACAAATAGTAACCACTGCTTGGCCATCTACCTGATGAAAATGTAAGGTGAACTGTAGAGTTGCCATGGCACCAGTTTGCCCTCATTTGAGATGTTGAGTTTTCTGTCCAGGATACCTGTCCCTGGAGCATTAAGTGGATTTTTAGGAAGACAGAGGGTTCCCAAGTGGCAGTGAGGCATGGCCTCCTAGCTGCTATGCTTTACATAAGTGGATAGAGTGAATGGAGCACTTTGGATGTGTGTTCATTCCCAAGATGCCTGCTCGGTGCCAATGTAAAACAGACTTAAGGATTTGCCTGAGAAAGACGTCCCGCTCATCCAAACACCCCAGCCCTTACAGTGGGAGAGGATTCCCAGGACAGACCCCACCCCTTCAGGGAGGGCGGTCTTAAGATGTCACCTGCTGCCAGGAGCTGGTGGTTTTCTCTTACCAGCTCACCCTGGTATTGTAATTAGGGTGTCTGCTGTTTGGCTTGGGTCCCAGGCAAGCTTGTGTTCATTCAGCACACCCTTGTTCAGCACCCACTAAGTGGTAGGCATGAGTGGAGGCAGATGGCAACTTGCAGCCATTACTCTGTGAAAGGGCAGCTGTCTAAAAGGGCGTTTCCTGCGCATCCCCAAAGGGTCCCATGGTGAGGCAGCATTCTGCTGAGAGTCACTTTTCTAGATCCGTGGCCCTGTTATTTCTGCAATCACCCTCTTGGCTGCTTTACTCCTGCCCTTCCTCCTGTCTCCATGTTTATTCAAATGGATGCACCTTGCTCTCTGGAGACAGCATGAGTGCGAACAGAATGTCAGATGAAGTAGCAGATGAGTTCTCCTTTGCTGATGGATGGTGCTCTTTCCCTCCTCACTGTTCACTGAGCTGTAAATACCAGCAGACCTTCCTGCCAGAAGAGTAACAAACAGTCCACCTGATCTCCTCCGGAATCAGCTATGGAATTCTTGAGCCTCAGTTACCTGTTGGATTCTGAAATGGAAACTGTCTGCTTGTTGAAAGTGTTGTGGATTAGATTAAATGGATGAGGTTTTATGGAGGGTTGACAGGACTCAGAAGGAATCCAGAATATCTGTTCTCTCTGCATGGGGA